CGGTGCTTAGTGGTTTGACCTCGCCTGACTCCTGATGAAGAGATGGATTCAGCATGTATAACATGAACAAGTACTGAGTCATTGTTGAATAACTTCGTGAATAATTTAGTTTTATACATTTAAGTATTATACATTTGGGTGAATTTTTATATAATGTAAGGGTGTTATTACAAACCCTTAACCATGAGTGGAAATTGTCTGTATGCATATACCCATATACTAGTATCCATACTCATTTAAGTGTCTATTTATGTATTTCATTTGTGTTCTATATTGATTTGTTTAATTTCTCGCTTTAATATTGAATTAAATGAGGTTTTTAGTTAGGTTAAGGTGAACAAGAATTTGCCCTGAGAATGGTTCCCCCATTTTTTTGGGGGGGAGGGGGGATAGGCACCCCCCTACATCCTTGTGTAAGGTGAAGCACAGCAGCGTTTACAGCGCTGCTAAGTTCATGCTTGCCATTATGTCTCATGAGTTAAGGGCATAGAAACCTGAAGAGTCAAGGGCGTAGAAGCCTGAAGAGTCAATGGTTTATGTCTAAGCAAGTTATTGGAAGCTCCAACAACTTGTCCCTGAATTCGAATTCGCAACTTTCGCTTTACACGAGGAACCTACTTTGTTGCTAGGTGAACAGGGACCAAGGGAGGCTGGGAAGTGTGTCCGAACAACTTTCCACCTGACCGGGAATCGAACCTGTGCTCTTGCTTGCGAGGCAAGAGTGGTACCGTTCTACCCACCGGCGCCCCCTATTCCCCCATTTAAAATACTAAAGTTTGTGGGAAAAACATGCCTCATGTACAGTATGTTGATCCTATTTACATCACATTTTCTAGGAACATATCCCTGACATAAATTGACAACTTACTATACAGTATTGTACTGTTAAAACTTAATCCAAGCCACTTTGTAATTGAAAGAGCTGTCTTAGACAGTTAACCAAAAAAAATTTTCTACAAAACTATTGCTTGTTCATTTCAAGTCACTGAGAAAGACACCATTTAAAAAAAAAACTACAGTACAGTATTCATTACTGGCGTGTATAAACTGAGGAACATTGGACCAATTAACTTTATTAAGCAGATATCATCTCAAATTCTGTATCAATTCTTGCCATCTCCAAGCATTTGAGTTCATAAACATCTTGGCAGAGGACCTCGAATAGGCTCTTGGGGATATTCCCTGCTTCACCTTTATCTACAACCACAGGTCTCCAACTTTTAAACTGACTTCAGAGGGAGCTACCTCTCTCACTTTCCATTACAGTATTGGATACTTTGTGTATCTGAGCATGAAATATAGTATCCAGGTATCTGAGTATAAAATACAGTATCTAGTTATACTCAGTGGGTGTAGAGATATAGGTCCAACAACCTGGGGATGGCAGCCATTACCCTGTATTATACCTGTAAAATCTATCTCAGGACAAGATCTTAGGACCCCCTCACAGTACAGTACATCCATGGAATTAAAAAAAAAATATGTTCCTCTTTATTGCATTTGTGTCAGTATAAAGTAACATTCGTACAGGAATATACCTTTTTTTTAAATTATGAAATACTGTAATTCAATTTAAAAAAGTGAAAGTTACTCTGATTTATTTTTCACCATCAATGACAGCTGTTAATGGAGTTCAGATGACAGTAGATATTTTCACAACATGGGTATAATCTTAAGTGAACTACTGTAGATGTTTAATTAAGATTACTGTACAGATGTATAAACTTGTGCTAAAAATCAAGCTTAAACTAGCCTTTACTCCATGAAAATGGTATAGGTGGACACCCTTCAAAAACTCACAAGCATGCACTCTCTCCTGATCCATGTGCTGATTGGGCATCAGCACTGTTCTAGGTCTCGGCATGTTGATTGGCTATTGGACTAGCCGAGAAGAGAATGCAGTTGGACCAATCATAGACTAGCATTCGGGTATAAAAGACACACAGCAGCAATCCTCAACCTATTCTGGAGTTGAACCTCGGCAAGTGAAGACAACTATCTCTGCTCCCGAGGTACCATGTGGATATGACGCTGCATTGGGACCAAGTGAAGGTGCTTTGGCTATACCTGGTCGAGTGCATCTATCCCAAGAAACTCAACCTCCTTCTACTGAGGAAGTTTTTTGACTCTGCAAGGATCAAGGGGGTTATGAAGGTCGTCTTCAGCCTAGTGAGTGGTAACCTTATGGTCACCTCCGAATGGAGACACACCAGGCAAATGTCAGATGTCAACGTCATCAATAACGTCCCAATCAAGGTTGAAATTAACGAAGACGACAACTTGGTACTGGGAGTGATCTCTCATGCCGAAATTTAACACCTGGACCAAGATGAGTTGGCCCAACAAATCAGCAACCAGCTCCACGGCGTAAGGAATCTGACCAGTGAAGTGGCCCCGGTTGGCTGTCCGAAGACATTATCACAAGTATGCCTGGAATGGGAGATCATTCCAGTTAAGACCTACATATCAAGACCCACACGATGCAACAAGTGTCAACGCTATGGACATCCTGCAAAGAAGTGAGTGAGAGTGCTGGGCTCAGGAAGTCTGTGCCATGTGTGGGACCAATGGGCACCAGCACATCACATGCTTGGCGACTGACAAGAAATGTGCAGTTTGTGGCAGCCCTCACTCCTCCGACTGGGAATGTCCCAAGTGGAGAGAGGAGTGCAGGGTAGCTAAGCTGCAAAAAAATAACTGAGCTACAAGGAAGTTTTTGTAGTGAATGAAGAAGAAAAGAAAAAACAAGAACAAAAGAAGACAGAAGAACCAAGAAAAGAACAACAAGAACCAGATATACAGTGCTGACAGTACGAAATTCAGAGTTCATCAACCTCTATGAATTATCACCAGACCTAAAAGACCAGAAAGAAGAAAAATGGGTAGAACAAAAGGAAGAGGTAAAAAGAAAAGGCCTATGGTCATAATGACCATCAAAGATGAAGGCCAGTAAAACAAACAAACAAACAACAATCCTCAACCTAGACCTGCACTTTGGTGAGTGACATCCATCTCTGGTCCTGAGATACCACATGGACATGACGGGACGCTGCATTGGGACCAAGTGAAGGTGGTTCGGCTGTACCCGGTCAAGTGCATCTCCCCCAAGAAACTCAATCTCTTTGTACTGAGGAAGTTTTTTCGACTCCACAGGGATCAAGGGGGTGACAAAGTTCATCCGCAGGGAGGTTAGTGGTGGCCTTATGGTCACCTTCTCCAAATGGGGACAAGCCTGACAGTTGTGAAACATCGAAGTCATCAACGACGTTCCAATCAACATCAAAGATTTATAAATGTTAACTTGACAATGGGAGTAATCTCCCACTCCGAAATTGAACACCTAGATGAAGACGAGCTGGCTGAACTGGTCGGTGACCAGCTCCATGTCATACCGTAAGTAAGCTGACCAGTCAAGCGGCCCTGGTCGGCTCCCTGAAGACAAGAACCAACACTGGGATGGGAGACCATCCCAGTTAAGCCATATGTTTCCCACACCATGTTACAAATGCCAGCAATATGAACATCCTGTGAAGAAGTGCCGGGCTCGGGAGGTCTGCGCCACCAGCATACCACGTGTTCGGCAAAACAGAAGAAATGTGCTGCTTGTGGTGGCCCTCACTCCTCCTCCGACTAGGAGTGTCCCAAATGGAGGGAGGACTGTAGGATAGTCAAGGTGCATCACCAGAAATGACTTGGCTACAAGCAGGCTCTCCTTGTAGTGAAGAACCAAAAAACCCAACACGAAAAGAAGAAACAAGAAACGAAGAATCACGAGGAAGAAATGAAGAACTGGGAAACAAAGAACCAAGAAAATGAAGAAAAAGAAGAGCCAGAAGAACAAGTACAAGATGTAGAATAAGAAGACCAAGAAAAACATGAGGAAGCGGTCCAAATAACAAGTATACAGCAATAATGGCAAATAAATTAAATCAGCCAACCATCAACTTTACATTCTTCCTCTCCAGCCAAAGAAGGAACAACACCTCTCTTCCAGCACCAGATCTAGCTCTCCACCAAGCTAATCCAGACTTAATTTTCAACCTGTAGCAATCCGCTGAATATTCTATAAGCATTATTTTTGTACTACTATAGAATTTATCTTTTCCCATCTCCAAGTGCTTGAGCATCACCAACCATAGTGTGTGTTATAAAGAGAAGAGACAAAAAACTAAAGAGAATAGACAAACACACTACACAATGGCATCTGATTGATTCGTGCATTTCAGACAAGTCTACTGTAATTCAGAAAATAGTATTAAATTTTGCACACTCAGCAAAATAGTTCGAATTTTTTTTAGAAAATAATTATAGTACACCGAGTTAAAAATTGTGTAGGGACCTTAACACTGGGTTTACTACAAAACATGTGCTGTACTGTATATGAAGCCAAACATGATACAGTACCTACCTAGTTCTATATTTTGCTTCAGAAATCTGCAAGTATTAGGCAGCTATCAAATAGGAAGGTACAGTTGCAGAAATGTGTTCCTACACCCCTGTGGTAACCAGTGTCTCCAAACGGCACCGTAGCAGTAGTAGTATCATTATTTATGAATACCCCCGTATTGGTTGTGTAACGACGGATGTTATTGATAGATAGATTTGCTACAGGTCATAATATGTTGGCCATTTGGAGACACTGGTTACTACAGGGGGGCATAGGAACATATTTTTGCAACTGTACTACCGCCTGGGAAGATATTGAAAACATTATGTGTTGTCTAATGGTAGACCCTGCTGCCATATGGCATCACAAAAATTTTGACCAAGTTCCAGGTTGCTCATCTGACTTTCTGCCTCGTTTACACACAATTGCAGGTCTAAATTGTTTCTCTTACTTTGTTAACACAACATACCTGTACATATAAAATTAATTTTATTATTTTTCATCTTTCAAAGGTATTATAATTTTTATTAGTTTATTTCTTTATTATTATTATTATTATTATTATTATTATTATTATTATTAATTATTATTATTATTATTATTATTATTATTATTATTATTATTATTAGTATTAGTATTAGTATTAGTATTAGCATTAGTATTAGTATTAGTATTATTATTATTAGTCAGCATTGCATAGGTTTGAGTTTAGAGCTTGCTGGGTGGACCATAGTGCTTGTGGATGAGTTGCTGGGTGATGGTGGCGACCTCCTGGCTGCAGCCCCAGAAAAGGGAGATCCCAGACCCACCATGGCCATAGTTATGCACTACCTGTATATGCATTATAAATTGTTATCATAATTCTCATTTATATTTCTAATAATAAATGCTGTCAGCCTTTCTCTTTATTTTTTTTACCTTTATCCTCTTCACCACAGATCGGCTCGTTAGCCGCTTGGGCGATCGGTCATGTCTCTGTTACGCACTATTGGCAAATACTGGGCATGCACTGGCTCCTGAATGTACCTGAACCTGCTCCAGTGTTGGTCAAGTCTTGTCTTGAAAGAGCTCACACTCGGTGCCATCACAACACTTTCTGGTAGATTGTTCCAAGAGTTCACAACTCTCACTCCGAAAAAGTTTGCCCTCACAGTTTTCTCGACGTGCAGCTCCTTCAATCTTGAGCTGTGACCCCTTGTGGGGCGAGCGTCCACCAGCTCCAAGTAAGGACACTCGACTGAGTAGTGCCCCTTGAGATGCTTATACTACACCTATATTAGGTTGCCCCTTGCCCGTCTGTAGTACAGTATAAGCTATGCAAGCTCAGGCGCTCCAATCTCTCAGCGTACTTGAGGTGCCGAAGTGCAGGCACCAACTGACAGTCCCTAGCATATCTCGGGGACCAGACGGGGTGACAGTACTCCAGATGGGGAAGCACTTCACTCTTGACGATCGTTATGAGGGACGGGTCTGATTTACCTTCTTCACGCAATGGCCCGGGAACTTCAGCTCATTGTCAACATACACACCTAGGTCCTTCTCACATTCAGTCTCAAATAATGCATTTTTTTCATCCCGTTCGGACATATGATACGCCTCCTTACCGCTGGTACACCACAGGTGCATCCTTTTTACTCTTTGTGACATTGGATTTCAGCAGCCATTTCTTCGACCATTCTTGGAGCTCACAAAGATCCCTCTGCAGCTCTTCACAGTCCACATGGTTCTTAATTTCCCGAAATAGCTTGGCGTCATCGGCAAACATTTGTATGGAGGAGAGAACAACGTCAGGTATGTCATTTATGAAACAAACAAACGACAGTGGGCCCAATACACTGCCCTGTGGGACCCCACTCGTGACAGGTACAGATGATGATTTCATGCCATTAATCACCACACACTGCTTGCGGTCATGTAGAAAGTCTTCTATCCATGCTAGGACATTTCCCTGAATTCCGTACCCTTCCAGTTTGATTTTCAGCTTTTCGTGGGGTACACTGTCGAAGGCCCTGGCAAAATCTAGGTATATATTGTCAATATTACCACCCCGTTCCAAAATATAGGTCCAAATATCCAATACCTTGAGCAATTGTGTTAAGCAGGAACGCCCAGGCATAAAACCATGTTGGCAATCCTTTGCAAGGTTGTTTCGTAGATGTTCCATCGCGGCATCTCTGATAATACTCTCAAGTACTTTACATATTAAGCTGGTCAGGATCTTCAGAGGCTCGGCAAGCTCGTTGCACAACTCTCTTAGCACTCTAGGATGCACCAAGTCAGGGCCAGAACTCTTATGGACCTTTAGCTTTGACAGTTTATTTCTAATACCCTCTTCTGTGAACACAATGTGGGTCAGTGCTGTGTCGAACTGTCTGTCCTCAAATGCAAGAAGGTTAATCGCATCCTCTCTTGTGGACACTGAAGAAAAGAAGCTGTTCAATGCCTCAGCTTTATCCTCGTCAGAATCTGTGTAACTACCATCTTCAAGCCTCAGGTCTGATACTCCTAGTCGTGTTTTTAATTTTGACTTTGCATAGAGGTAAAACGCCTTTGGATTTGACTTGACCTCTCTTGCAACCAGCCTCTGGAACTCCTTATCAGCCCTTCTACACTCTGCCTTTGCTTGGTTTCTGGCTCTTGGATACTGTACATCCTCCTGCCCTGCTTATCATTTGACCCAACCCACGTCTTGAATTTCTGGGTTTTCTTCTTAAATTTCTCGACCGCCGCATGATTCATGTGTAGGGATCCCCTTGTATTCCTAGAGGCACTGGGTTTGGTCTTGGGTATGTATTTATTGATCAAATGGTTCACTTTACTAGTTATGATATTCAGTGTAGTGTCTGTGTTCTTGTGCATTAATGAGTCAGGCCAGTGGATACCCCTCATCTCTTCCCTCACCCCGTTGTAATTTCCCTTGTAATATTTGCACCTTGGTCTGGCCTTATCTTGAACTCGGTAACAGTTAAATCTGAATGACAACACTTTATGGTGACTGGTGCCAACTGGGGCAAGGTGTTTCAATTTGGCCACCATACCTTCTTGGTTTGTTATGATGAGGTTTAGTGGCTTAGGTGTTTGCTCCCCTCTGTAATGTGTCGGGTTTCTAACATGTTGGAACAGAAAATTATCTCTCAAAGTTTCTACAAAAAGAGTAGCAGGGTTATTCAAGCCATTTGGGGTGAACTCGTTTCTTCAGTCGATGTCACCATAGTTAGAGTACCCCATGATAAGGTGGTGGCTAGGATTGAGCATCGCTGCGTTGTCTATAAAGGCTCTAAGGCCTTTGATTTAGTGGGCCACAGTTTGGGGATCTGTAGATACACCCGACAATAACCAAGTCCCCTCCCTTTAATTTAATTTTACACCACTTGGACTCTTCAAAAACATCCTCTCACTGTACCCTCACCTGGCTAGCTCTAAGGTCTTGCCCAGCATAGATAACCACACCCCTCTTGCAAGTTTCTTGACAAAGGTTCGTAAATGAGTCATATCCAGCAATACTGAATTCACATTCCTCTGGGTCAATTCTCCTGTTCTTGTACAACAGTTCTACAACCCCTACAATATCGGGTTGGTGTACCTTCAGTAGTGTTTCAAGCTCCTCTCTCTTATTAAGGAACGTGCCAGTATTAGTGTACATGACATTCAAGCCAGAATTTGTTCTCGGTAACGTCTCTGCTCTCATTACTAACTCCGGCCCCCCTCCATTCTCAGAAGCTGCAGCATTTGTTAAGTACACTGTATTTTGCAGGGTGTGGTTTGAAATGTCATTGTTTACACGGCGCTCGCCTCCTCCCGGCTGGTAGGCGGAACTGGTGCCATCTCCCTGGTGGGAGGTAGAGCAGGTGGAGGGTGCAGCATACTTGCTTCCACTACCCTCCCCTGAATATAACCCATGTACACCCATCCCCGTTCCTCCTTGACTCCTCCCTCTTCTGCTTTAAGCCCTACAGGAGCTTCTTGTGCTGTTCCCTCTGCATTACCTTGCGATCTGGGTGATTGAATACACTCCGAAATGTCTCACTCGTTGCTAAGTTTTTTGCCTGCCAAATAACCTCCCATTTCTCCTCCTCACTCACTAGTGTGATTCTGAGAGGAGGAGGCTTGTTCCCCTGCTTTTGTCCCAGCCTCCTCACATCCTGAGGGGTTGATGGCATCTTCAGAACCTCTACAAATATTCTTAAACTGCATCTTATCGTGTGTTATCCTACTCTCACTTCCTTCCGCCTGGCTCTCAGGGACTCCAAAAACTATTACATTGTTCCTTCGCTGGAAACGTTCCCATCATTCCTCCTCTTCTCTAACAGTATGTCCGCTAATTGTCATTTCTTTGACACACTTCTTCAGAGTCCCTAGCTGCTGTAGAAACTCTAAATCATCATCTGTACCTGTCACGAGTGGGGTCCCACAGGGCAGTGTATTGGGCCCACTGTCGTTTGTTTGTTTCATAAATGATATGCCTGACGTTGTTCTCTCCTCCATACAAATGTTTGCCGATGACACCAAGTTATTTCGGGAAATCACAGAACCAAGCGGACTGTGAAGAGCTGCAGAAGGATCTCTGTGAGCTCCAAGAATGGTCGAAGAAATGGCTGCTGAGATTCAATGTCACGAAGTGTAAGAGGATGCACCTGGGGCGTACCAACGGTAAGGAGGCGTATCATATATCCCAACGGGATTAAGAAACTGCACTATTTGAGACAATGTGAGAAGGACCTAGGTGTGTATGTTGACAATGAACTGAAGTTCTCGGGCCATTGCGAGAAGGTAAATTTGGCAAATAAATTACAGTATTGGATCTTAAAAGAATGTCGTTCAGATACCTAGACGGTCTGTCCCTCGTAATGATCTTCAAGAGTGAAGTGCTTCCGCATGTGGAGTACTGTCACCCCATCTAGTCCCCAAGATGTGCTAGTTGGTTGAAAATGTTCAAAGGAGGGCCACCAGACTGGTGCCTGCACTTCAGCACCAAGTACCCTGAAAGATTGGAGTCCCTGAACTTGCCTAGCTTCAACTACAGACGGGCAATGGGCGACCTAATTGAGGTGTATAAGCATCTCAAGGGGCACTGCTCAGTCGAGTGTCCTTACTTGGAGCTGGCGGACGCTCGCCCCACAAGGGGTCACAGCTCAAGATTGAAGAAGCCGCAGGTCCAGAAAACTGTGAGGGCAAACTTTTTCGGAATGAGAGTTGTGAACTTTTGGAACAATCTATCAGAAAGTGTTGTAACGGCACCAAGTGTGAGCTCTTTCAAGATCAGACTTGACCAACACTGGAGCAGGTTCAGGTACATTCAGGAGCAGGTGCATGCCCAGTACTTGCCAACCGTGCGTAACAGAGACGTGACCGATCGCCCAAGCGGCTAATGAGTCAATCAGTGGTGAAGAGGATAAAGGTAAAAGTAAAAGTATGTTTTGTATATTTAAATACTATAACTGATATGGGGAGCCAGGTACACCAACATATTTTGATAATGCACTGTCAAAAATATCATAGTACTGTATTTCGTCCAGCATTTCATATTGTAAAGATGGAAAAAGTAATTTTTCTTGTTCACTGTACATGATACGTATAATGACAATAATGATTCAAAATACCAGTCATATATTTTTGCATGACTAGTGAATATGCTAACCTAGAATACGCGCTTAAAAACCTGAATCGTTATAACGTAGTACAACAGTACAGATATACTATAATGCGGTACAGTATAGCATCAGCCAGACAACATGCGCATCTCCAGACTTACCGGCACTGTTCGTGAGTTACAAAGTAGCTCATCAGCCTCCAGGCGAACACCGTTCTTCCTACACGGCCGCAGACCCACCCACTCCTTCACCACCTCCGCCGACTGTGTGGTGAAATATGGTAATGGAGGCACTATAGAATCCCGCTGTCAAATCTAAGTGTAGTTGCTACATAATTTAACCTAATCTGTAATATCCTAATCTAACCTATCCTACCCAAACCTAGCCTACTCTAACTTAACCTTTATTATCCTAACCAAACATAACCTCTGTAAATTAGTGTTAGTTTATACAATTACATCACACTAATAACTTCTATAACAAAAATGAACATTGAATCTTAACAGCCATTCTTCAACCATTCCTGAAGCTGACAAATCTTTCTGTAGCTCTTCACAGTCCGTCTGGTTTTTAATTTCTTTGTATAACTTGGCCTTGTCTGCAAACATATATATGCATGAGTGTACTACATATAGCTTCTTATAAGACCTAATAGCAGCTTGATTCAACTCACTAACCTAAGCTAAGCTAATCTAAACCCCCATCATTTAATGCTGAGATTGTAGGCCACGAACCCCTACAAGATATTTAATCATCAGGTGAAATAACTTGAGGTTCCCAATCTTCATCCGATCTTTTTTGTACTCACGGACATCAGTTCTGGCCAAGAACACACAAATGTAATATACCACTACCAGTAAAGTAACAAGGAACAGAGACTTTGCAGACTTGGAGACTGAGCTACTGACACTGAAATGAAATTACAGGGTTATAGTATAGACATAAGATGTAGGGCTATGAATCTTGGAAGTAGGGCTAGAACATTTGGAAGTAGGTCTAGAGCACTTAGAAGTAGGGCTAGAGAACTTAGAAGTAGGGCTAGAGCACTTGGAAGTAGGGCTAGGACACTTGGAAGTAGGGCTAGAACACTTCGAAGTAAGACTAGGAACCTTGGAAGTAGGGCTAGAACACTTGGAAGTAGGGCTAGAACACTTGGAAGTAGGGCTAGAACACTTGGAAGTAGGGCTAGAACACTTGGAAGTAGGGCTAGAACACTTGGAAGTAGGGCTAGGACACTTGGAAGTAGGGCTAGGACACTTGGAAGTAGGGCTAGGACACTTGGAAGTAAGACTAGGAACCTTGGAAGTAGGACTGTGGATTGTGTAAGAAGAACTTTGGACCTTGGTAGTAGGGTTATGTAAGTAGGGCTCCAGTTTACATACCTTGAGAGAGGGGATGTGGGCAGTACAGTTGCGCCAGATGGCCTCAGAGTCGTGAGGGTCAACCTCCAGCCTCCAGTCGTTGTCTTGGTGGGTGCCGCCCAACACCACAGTATCTGTGCTGCTCAACATCACATATACCATTATTTTGTTTTAATAATCGTGTCACGAATAATACTATTTCTACCACTTGTATTGTTGTAACAACTGTGACAAGAAACTTACTATTTCTACCACTTGTATTGTTGTAACAACTGTGATGAGAATAATACTGTTATGTCGAGGCATAATTTCGTATTATATTTTTGTAAACTAGGTCTTTTGATTGTTTTCTGTCCCATGCAGCAGTTATTTGGGTAAATTTAGTGAAATTTTCGTGTATATGTTGATGATTTTGATGTATTAATTATGTAAGAATATTCTAGAATGTATTGCATCATTTTTGTTCCGATTTACCTCTTATTGAAAGCCTGGATCATTCTAGAATTCTCCAGGCGAGTCAACTTTCCGCTGCTGGACATCGCTAGAATGTTCTAGGCGCCCAGCCAGACGGTAACAAGCGCCAATCAACAAAAACGCCATGGAGGGCGGAAAGTCACCTTGGACTTATACGATTTTGGACCCTATAAACTCTGAGCCAGAGGCATGGAACCCACAGACAGAAAGATGATGCAATGAAGTATGCCTTGAAACCAAAATCGACTTCTTGCGCTGGGTGGCGCTTGTTCCCCTCTGGCTGGAGGCTACTCATATAAGCTGCGCGGGCTGCCTAGGGCAGTTAGTTGCTGGCCTCACCTAGTGTAAAGAAAGTAGTCGCCCGTATTATTAATCATCTTCCCTTAAAGAGGGTCGTCGTGTTTCAACCCGAGTTTTAAACCAAATGAGTCCTGAGGGACACCGCAGTACTGTACGTAACGGGGTGGTGTGGCGGTAAAATTAACTAGTTCCAATAAAATTATTTTATAATATTGGAATTAGTTAATTTTACCGCCACACCACCCCGTTAAGTACAGTGCTGCATTGTCCCTCAGGACTCATTTGGTTTAAAACTCGGGTTGAAACACGACGACCCTCTTCAAGGGAAGAGGTTGTTTAATAATATGGGCATAAGCTTAGAAGAACAACTGAAGACAATTGTTGTGCAAGTATTGTGGAATTGTTGTGATTATTATTAAGTGAGAAGACTAAGGAATTGTAAACTCGAAGTGTGCTGGCTATATATTTGATGTACAGAGTTAAGCTGTGAAGACATTACCCTGTTAACAGTGTTGTGAAGAATTATTGTTTATTAAAGAAGGCTACAGTGCACAGGTGTGTTTCTGTGACCCGGTGGAAATCGACCTGCCTGTTGTTTGTCTGCAAACTGATACCGATCGTCGGGAAGTTACCGGAGACTGGCGGGACAGCCAGTGGTAATTCAACAACTCTTGCGAGATATCTACTGCTCTGTACATACAACCCTAGCCGCTGGTAACCAGTGGTGGAAGCTGGGTAAGCGATGGAAGGAGGACGGTCTTAATACTATTTCTACCACTGGTGTCTGGTACTACTATTACTGATGGTGGTGTTATTGTTAATACAACTAAGTATGCCTTCTATTACTACCCTGTACTACCATTCTTACTTCTTCTATTGCTAATCTTACTATGGGATGTCCCATAATGGATATTACTGTACATGACATAACTATTTTCTATCTCTGCTGCCATACGAGATGTTTAACAGCTGCCCAGTAGCCATAGGCGAGATGCCCGTTATGAGAGTCAGTGACCCGGTTGTGTTCCGGTCTCTAGACAATAAACATAACGCTCACCACTCGGCTATCCTTCCTCCCAGACACCATACATGGCACAGTGAGACCTTCTTGGAGCCTACGCCCTTTCTCATTATGGCTCCACCAAACAGACCTGCCTCTGTCACTCCCAGGGCCTGCAGATCTCCGGCTTCTATGCCCCACAGCTGTGTGTCGTCCATGGCCTAAGCACAGTCTGTGCTAGTTGCTCAACAACAGGCCATCCAGTCGCTGCAAGCAGGCCTTGCCACTGTCTCCCTGCAGGGCCAAGGGCCGCCCCCAAGAGTACTTGCCTCTACAGCGCCAGAAAAGTGAGAATTGTAGATGTCATCTGCAGCATTCTGTTCCTGGAGGTGCTCGATGGTGTGTTGGTTGCAGCTGAACAGGTGGCCGCTATCAGAAGCTACTCAACACGTTAGGCTATATGTACTGTGTTCCCGCCCTACAACGTGCCGTGGACACAAGATTCACCGACTAGTAATGGTGTGCCCTCACCCGAGTCCGCTCTGGATGCTATCGGTAACTTAGTGCTTCGTTCATCCAACCAGGCAGTGTTGTGGGCTGATTTTTTCAGTGATTTTGTCAGGGCCGGGAGGAGCCCGTAGGTAAATATTCTATTAAAGGGGCTCAAAAGGCTACTGATTGTGATTTTCAGTGACCCCAGTGTGATCATAATCTCTCGGAGTATATGTTGTTGCACAAGCTTTTAGATGGCCTCAGTGATCCAGCGTTGAAAGGGATTATATATAAAATTTGTGACTCTTTTTATTAGTGTTGACAGCCTGTGAGCTGTGTGTTGTGCATTCAAAGCAGCGCAGTTTGATGCAACGGCCCGGGCAGGAAAATTTGGCGCGAACCTCTTACGGCTGGCGCCGCTCCTGCTGATGACATTACTCCAGAAGCAGCCACGGTGCTCCACCGCAAATCAACCCCTGCAGTAACTGGCAACCTCCATGTCCCTGACAGGGCTCCATGTCCTGCCAAGTTAGTCACTTGCCACGGCTGCCAGATGGCGGGGCACCTTAAAAAGTGTTGTAGGAGCAGGAAAAATCCTGCAGGTTTCCAGACTGTGGCTCCCTTTGAATTGTCAGGCCCACTATCTTTCAGTTAGTCACTTGAACTTCTCATGCAATTATTATTTTTATGATATTCCTAGTCTTACTACTAAAAATTTATTATTTTTATTTTTAACAAATCCTCTTCTTCCTCTCTTTATTATTATTTATACTCTTATGATTTTGCTGCCAGTATCAGTGTAAAAGCATTAAGTAATCATAGGCATATGGGCTTGCTATTTACTGAGCGGTGTGGGGGGCGGAAGGAATACAAGAATTAAATAAAATAGTTAAAGAAAATAATAGAAATTGTTAATGAATAAAATTATCATCATTCTCTCTCCCAAAGCTATTCAGTAAATCAGTGAGTACAAGTACATATATGTAGAGGGTTTTCATTTATCAATATGGCCACTAGATATACTGTATTACAGATGACTAGACTATACAACAGTTTCAAGCAACAAATAGGTATTTGTCTCTCCACATCCGGTTTCCTGGCTGAGCGTTAGACTGTAGGGAATTTAAATTTAAACCTGCCAACGGCTCTCAAATATTGGCCTTCCTCCTGTTGCACCCTATATATTTGCTGCAGGCACAATAAAATCCACTTTTTTCTGTTTTTCATCCTTTGGAAATCGATGAAATCTCAAACTTTTATCATGTTGTCCGTAATTTGATATGCATCCAGATATGGAGCATCTATCAGGCATTGTCATAGACCTTCACACCACGAAAGCCAGCTGCTAACTGAAGTCCCACCATGGTGACGACGGACCATCCCCCAGGCTGTCGGCCAGATGACGTCATGCACGGTGAAGGGCGAATTTCAACTCTTAAGTGAGTTGACTTGGTATAATTAGATTTTTCATGGGCCATTGTTCCGCATCTGACGCATACACACTTAGATTTGATGATGCCATCCAGGATATACCCAGGAAATACAAGTGCATCGATTACACCCTACTGTACAACTTCAGTGTGGAGGGGGCACTTTGGCATACATACGACTTCTTGGTGACGTGCGCACTTAAAGGAATACCCCTCAAACCTGAGAAATTCCAGTTTGGAAGGAAGGAGGTTGACTTTGTGGGGTTTCACCTTGGTTGGGACTCGTACAAACCCACCAATGACCACCTATCTGCCGTTAAGGACTTCCCCATGCCCGCCCATCCCACTATCAACAGACACCAGGTCATGGCACGGCTTTGTCAACCAGCTGGCCCCGTTTCTTGCCATAGCCCCCATCATGGAACCCTTCAGGGAGCACCTCAAGAAGCCCTCTGGGAAAAAGGTTTACTGGGATGACCAGCTGCAGGCCAAGTTCCATCAAGCTCAGGACACCATCTGTCAGCTGGCCAGAGATGGCCTAGTCTATTAGGACAAGACCAGACAGCCGTCACCAACTGGAGGAGGGAATGAATCAGTTTTGTCGTCCTCCAGCAGCACTGCACCTGCTCCTCCACCAACACGCCATTCTGCTGCAAAAGTGGGTAGCGCCTCACTCTGTGGCAGCCGCCACCTTACCCCCGCTGAGGCAAGCTACGCTGCTGTGGAAGGGGAGGTGTTGGCAGTTGTATGGTGCCTTCAAAAGGCCCATTTGTTCCTGCTGGGTGCCCCAACCTCACCCTCGTCACAGACCACCATCCTCTCATCAAGCTTCTGGGGGATAGGGCACTTACAGATATCATCAACCCCAGGCTCTTCCGGCTCAAGGAAAAGACCCTATAATATAAGTTTCAAGTTTAGTATCTGCCCGGGAAGAGAAACTGCGCTGCCAACTTCCTGTCGCACTACCCCACCCTCCAGACATCCCGACACCCTCGACACTGACCACAACGAGGACATGATGGTGGCCATAGCCTGTGCCGCCATCGCTGCACTGGACATGGACGGCTTTATCATGGATGAGGAGACAGTCAGGAAAGCCGCTGCTGCCGACCCAGTTTATCAGCTGCTGGCGGCCAGGGTCTTAGCTGACGACTGGCACCCTCACAAGTCTCAAAAGATTGCCTGCCTCCGGCCATTCTACAACGTCAGAGAGAGGCTGGCCATGACCCAGGGCCTACTCACCTGTACCATTGACATGGGCAGTGTCCACCTCGTCATCCCCAAGGGCCTATACCACCAGGTAGCAGCCAACCTACATGCTGGCCACCAAGGACTGGACTCTATGCTGCGAAGGGCCAGGCAGTCAGTTTACTGGCCCGGCTTAGAAGGCAACCTTCAGTTCCACAGGTCTTTATGTTCTTCCTGTGACACCCATGCCCCATT